TTATATAAATGTGTGTTTTTCAATCAGGTTATTTCAAATACTGCACATTAATAATGAAACTTGTGTAATACTGAAGTCATTTTCAGAGTTGTTTTATTCAGAGAGTTGGTCCTTGGGTTCATTCTGGGAAAAGCTTCACCAGAGCTTCCCAATTGTTAAGGGGAAGGATGTCCTAAAAGAACTTTGCAAAGTCTTGTGGACTCCACCCCTACTCCAGCTTTCTGTATTCCACCCCTTACTTCAGTGATTGAAAAACTACAACTCCCAGCAGTACCAAGGAGAGAACTGCAAGGACCTAAGGGCGGAGCTAAGCAGGCATTCTGGGACTTTGGGGGATAAATAGTGAGTGGATTTTCCAACTTTCACCCTGGAGAGCTAGCGGTTCTCTCTGGAGCAAATGCTCTCAGACCATGTGACTGGGGCTAGCAGCGTTAGTTTGGGACTAGAGCTCCAAGTTAGCTGCACTGGTAAAGTATTCCAGCTACTTTGTATCCCTCTCTCTTTTCCTGGGTTGTTTCCTTTTCCTTTCCCCTTTTTGTGAATAAACCCATTATTGACCCTTTTGTGTGTGCCTGCAGTATAACTGACTTTTGAGCACGCCGATGAGGCCCCACAGACAGCCAGCTCAAGTCCACTCTGGGCTACCCTGTAACACTTTCAGTAGCTCCAGCAAGTTTCCCACGCAGGTTTCTCCACAATACCTGATGTTAGTTATATCTAAAAGGGCTTCATTATAAAAGGGAGAGAAGAATAAAGGACACTTGCTAGACACAAAAGGACAGAAAGAGCTGCCCCTAAAGGGACAAGTTTGCTAAAGAGAGGTCTGCATGGCCCCAGGCAGGCAGCCATTAGGAGAGCTGCCACTGCTGAGGAAGGTCAGTAAAGATAAGCACCAGAATAATACAGGTCATGGGCAGGGAGGCAGGCTGCTACCCTGCAGAGGGAAAAAGTTGGCAAAAGAAGCATCTTCATAGTCACAGCTGGGCAAAAGGACAGCAGTGTAGTGCCAGTGCAGAAACTGCGGTGATACAATCTTCTCTTTGGGAGGAGCTCATTTCTTTGTGGAGTGGCCTGTTTGCTATTGATTTTGAATAACAATATAGAATTTGAAAAGGACTGAAGAATCTACAATGGCCCTCCATCTCCATATCTTTACCTCAGGTCTGTGCCCTAAAACACTAAAAAAAGTCAGACCCTTAGTTTGGGTCTGTGCCTTTGTACCTATAGATTTTTCAGTTCCTGTAGCTGTTTCAATGACTATGTTAATCACTTCTACCCTACCTCCAGCTCAGCATTTTTGAGGCAGGTTTCTGGTCTTGTAGTGCCTCCTTTCCAACTTTTCTATCCTTATGCTCCATCACTACCAAAACATAAGAAAAAATGTAGTTATGATACAGGGCAGGGAGGGAGGGGAACCACTGAAACTCCAAACTTGCCTGCTCTAAATAAGTTCTGCCATCCACTACATCAAAAGAAGACATAAGAACTTTAATGGAAATGAACTTTATACAATGAGTATGCAATACGGAAAAGACAAAGAATATAATTCTAAATCAAACACCTGAAGTTACCCATCCCCTCGTGGGTAAAAGTCCACTCAAAAGGGATTGTCCCAAAGCAAGGCCAGAAAGCCTACCAGAAGACTAAAGCACCTTCTGGCCCATAATAAAGGATCAGAAATAGCCAGACGAGTCTGGGAGGAAAAAAGCAAAATCAAAATCAAGATAAATGCTGCCAGTATCTCTCACCCATATCTGTTTCAACCAGTCCAGGACCAAGAAGCAAGCATGGTTTCTTCACATGTCTTTCTGTACCATGTGGCTTCCTCATGTCTCCCTCTGGCTCTCCATCCAGCTTCCTTCTTCCTCCAGATCCTTCTCTTCTCTGCTCAGCTCCACCCTCCTTCTGGGTAGGGCAGAGAACATGGAACTTCCCCTTTTCCTGGCGACCACCCTGGAAAGCAGAACTGTATTCCACATAGTATCCGGGTAGATAAATATCAAAAAACATATTTACAATTGAAGCTTTAAAAAAGATATATTTATCATTATACCTTATAATATTAAAGTTATTTAATAAGCTGTATTGGACTTTAATTGATTCCATTTTAATAACTAAGATTGGAACAATAACTAATTTTAACCTCATTGAGATTGCTAAGCAAATGATTGTATATCACCCCATAACAGTTAATGATAATATTTACTAAAAATATCTTTTAAAGGAAAAATACCGGATGGTTTCACTCATTGCAGGAGTATAAAGGATCAGGGGAGAAAATAATAATAATAATGAACAACTACATACCAGCGATATTTTAAGGGGGGCAAGTAGGGAATAGGATAAAAAATGGGACAGGGAGGAAGTACACTGGACTATGTGATGGCACACAGGTGATCTGGTGATGGGAAGCCCATGGGGATTACAACTGAGATGGAAAAAGATGCAAGATTATGTAAAAATAAACTATTACATTATTTTAAAAACTATGTATCTTTTCTTTCAAGATCTGAGTGAAGGATGTGTCCATTGCTTACTACAACTTATTTACTGACCCACACATAATTACATTTGATGGCAGGTAACTTCCCAAAATTTTTTTCATTTAATTGTCTTTTTTCTTTTAGATTTTATTGCTGTTTTATTTTAAACATCAAACTATTTTTATTATTTCTTTGTTCTAGTTACTTAAAGATAAGACAGGAAAGCATATATGGATATCATTGACTTGTTTCAAAATACTGTTTAATTTATGTATAATGTTTCTTTTAAAAATCTAATCCTAAGAAAAAATACAGACTAATCCTAACTAAAAAATACAGTTGTGAGTTTCATTTTTTTTAAAGACTTATTTATTTATGTATACAGAACTGGGGTACAGGCCAGAGGTGCAGGGGTGGTGAAAGGCTTCACCAGACACAGAGTGGGAAGCAGAACAGGCAGATGGACATAATACACTGCTGAGGGGAGCAGCGGGAGAGACAGGAGAGGTCTGCTGTACCATGTAGATCACCTCCGGGGCAGGGTTCCAACTTGCAGTGCTGCGTCTTAACCTGTGACACCACCAGGGAGGGCCCTGAGTCTCCATTTCTAAAAAATAAATTACTAATATTCCAAATTTTCACTTTCATTTGACCATTTGCTTATTAAAATTATTTTCTTTAAAGAGATAATTATTGTATTGCTTTTCTACATGATAGTGAAATGCTCTTCGAGGCTCAGTCAACATGAGTAAACTTACAAATTAGAATCATTAAAAGAACAAGTCACTTCTAATTTATTGGAAGGATATTGAAGGGATTAACTATTGGAATACCTGGATATTTGCTACTGGAATTTAAAGTAAAATAGGCAAGATGACCAAAAAGTAATCTGACCTATCTTGCTATTAATATCTGCAGAGAATACATTAACTTCATTTCTTCATTAACTTCGTTTGTTGTGTCAAAACTTTCTTTACGATATAAAGTAGTTTATACTTTCAAAAATTGTGACACAGGGCCCTCCCTGGTGGCGCAGCGGGTTAAAGCACTGCACTAAGAAGTTTAAGCCACTTCCGCATGAGTTCCATCCCTGCCTGTCCCGGAGGTGACCACATGGTGCGGCAGACCTCTCCTGGTCCGCCTGCTGCTCCCCTTAGCAGTGCACTTCGTCGATCTGCCTGTTCTGCTCCCCACTCTGTCCCTGGTGAATCTTCTCACCCTCCGCATCTCTGGCCTGTACCCCAGTTCTGTGTGAATAAATAAATCTTAAAAAAAAAAAATTGTGATACGATTATTGTCAATACAGTTATTCCAAATGAAAGAATGCTGTAGAACCTCTCTAATAGCAAATGATATGCCGAAGATTTAGAAAAATATTAAGTAGTTGTAAGAACTTATTCTACAATTAAGAATTCTTTATGGTTACAATGAAAGTTTCAGAAGTTTTAGTGGGAAAATCCTCTAGAAAGAGGGATGGTGGTTAACAAAGCAGACAAACCTCCCATCCTACCCCATGGAGCTTACTTTTAATAATGAAAGAGTTATATACACAATAAAATACATATGTGTGCATATATGTATATTTATGTATATATATATATAATATATATGTATATATATATTATATAGTATATATGTGTGTGTATGTGTGTCTAAAGAAGAAATGAGCTAAAGGAAATTAAAGCAGGAGTGGAAGCTGTGTGTGTGTGTATGTATGCATATATATGCATATGGGTGTGTGTGCATAGCTGTGGAGTTATACAATGTATCTGCCTTTAAATTATTCTAGGAGAGCCCTCCCTGGTGGTGCAAGGAGTTAAGGCACTACAAGGCTATCCGCTGCCACTGCAGCACCATTAAATCCCTGGCCATGGAGGTGACCCACATTGCACAAGAGACCTTTCCTGTCCCGCCAGCTGCTCTGCTCAGCAGTGTGTTTCCGTTAATCTGCCTGTTTTCTTCCCCACTATATCTCTGTTGAATCCTGTCACCCCCTTAACTCTGGCCTGTACCCCAGTTCATGTATGCATAAATAAATAAATCTTCGAAAAAAATTAAATAAATAATTTTAGCAAAGACCTTTGCACAACATGTCTCAATAAGATCAATATAGAGATCAGATTTTGAGTTAGCAAAATGCAAAGGTCCATTTTGACATACATCATTATAAGGAAAGTTGTAGTCTAAAGAAATTTAGTAAATCTTTTTATATTAAGGGAATAAATGGGTTTATATCTTAATGTAATTTTCCCCATAATGCCTTTTTTTTTTAAAAGATTTATTTATGTATGTATACAAGTACATGTTAGAGGTGCAGCAGGTGGGAGGATTCACCAGAGACAGAGTGGGGAACAGAATAGGCAGTTCACCTCCAGGAGTATGGAATTAGTGGTGCAGTGGCTGACAATGGCTTCATAGTGCTGCATTCTATCCCTTGCACCCCAGGAGGCTGAGGGAGGTTGCTTAATGCTCATTGCGTAATGTTTCAATATCATTGTTTTTTCACTTCGGATTTGGTTTTCTTCTGGAGCATTTATGTGTGCTGATCTCAGAGAATGGGGTATGTGTTTAACAATCAGAGCCCCTACTTTCGATTGCAGAAACTTTGGGACTTTGTGGCACTTTTGATGAAAACCCAGAAAATGATTTCCATGATAAAATGGGATCAAAACTGATGAAACCTTTAATAGCTGTATTGCCTTTATAAATGAATGGAGGTAAGAAAATCATTTTTATTCATGTTTATATTAACATTAGTGTTCAAATTGGTGGTGGTTTTATTTTAGTTTTTTGGCTTTGTTTTGCCACACATTACTGGGATGAACGTTCTTGTCTAAATGACTGTCCTGTTTTCCTTCCGGAAGGATTTTACCAGGAAAAAGTGTGTTTGACTAATGCCTGTTTCTCTGCCATCACCTGTAAAGCTCTCTTATTATAGCTGCTCACTTGACAGGGCTTCATTGTATCCATCTTTAAATCATCTAAACAGTGTTTCAGAAGTCATTTCAAGTTGCAAAGATCTGAGACATGTCAAATTCATTTCCTTAATACCAGAACAAGATGTCACCTCTGAATATATTTATTCAGGTGCTCTTGTTAGAGAGATAAACAAATATATCTCTCAAGAAATAAATAATATGAAAAATGTTCCTCAAGAAAATAAGCATATGAAGCAAACTGAACTGGACTTATATTTGCAAAAACATCCTGGGAATGAAAATCAAGATGCACCATAAAACTTGGATGGTGGGAGACAAATGACAGACAGCCACAGTCAAAAGAAGAGTTGGGATCAACAAAATAGAAGAAAAAGGCGAAAATTTTATGTGCTTCTTTCCACTGTTTGCTTTCCCAAGTCTCAGCAAAAGTGACCTAGAAGAGTTGATTATTTCTTCCCTGAAGATCATATCCAGGCTGTCCACATAACTCACACTCTCTGGCCTCACCAAGCACAGCACCTGGGTTCTGGGTCAGCAGACTATCCAACTCCAGCTTTGGAAGGCTCTGTCTCATTTTTCTTGGCAACAGACTAGACAGTGTTATAGATATGTGTGTTAAGGGTGTCCTTTTAAATGATGATCTTAGCTGGGCAGAAGCAGGCTTAGCACTTTTAGAAAGTGAATGTGAAAAGAGGATTTTGAAAGAGGGAATATACAACACAGAAGAATATGGCAAGTCTATTGAAGACATTGTCTCAGAACTAAAATGTCTGATTTACGTAGTGTCATTGGGGAGTGTATGGAATGGGGCTGCTTGTGTTCTCCAGGCCTAGTTCCTGTGACTGCAGTAATTCACATGGTAAGCTAATATCCTCCAACTTCGATGCTGTCGATGTTATTTGAGAGTGAAATGTTTTCCTTCTGTCTTACCTTTTTTCTTACCTGACTAGATGAGGTTAGTCAGATTATATAAGGGGAACAAGCAAGTTATATCAATAATGTCCCAAAAGTGTTTCATCTTTTTTAGTTAAAACTGAAAATCTTATAACAGCCCAGAAGATGCATGTGATCTGGTACATTCAGGAACTTTGTCCTATCTATATTGTATGCTGTCTGTGCTGTTCCTTCATAACACTTGGTTCTCTTGAACTCAGAGCTTTTGCACACAGCTAGCTGGTCTCTCTGCTTGAAAAAAATGAATGTTTGACTAGAAATTAGTTTTCGTATTTGTAAGCACTATGTAATTTATAATGCTTTGTCAATTACTTTAATTTGCTTAAAGTGTTTTCTAACCCATCTACATTGCACGAACTAGTTTGCTTTGCTTCACATCCTTATCAATTTTTGGACAATATAAGATTTCTCCCCTCAGATGTGGTCTCTGTAGCTCACATACCACCAAAGCATTCATACTCCACCATAGTCCATTGTGCTCTCCACCCCTCCTCCCTTTTCACACCATTTACATTCTCCTTTCCTGCCCTTCTCAGAAAATTCAAATCTATGGTGAACTTTCAAAACTTGATTTTAAAACTTGTCTTTGATCCTTTGTTTGTTTTTCCCATATTCCACATAAAAGTGAAACCATCCAATATTTATCTTTCTCCTTGTGACTTATTTCACTATCTTCCAACTCCATCATGTTGCCACAAATGGCATGAGTTTATCTCTTGATTGCTGAGTATTGTTCCATTGTGAATATGTATCACATTTTCATGATTCACTCATCTGTTTGTCTTAATATATATGAAAGAAATTTTTAAAAGCCCACTTTATTTTATTACCCACTAATCCAATAGCTCATGAATTTTCTCCTACCACTACCATGCTGATTCAAAATAAAATATTTTTTCTGACATGGTCCCATGAACTTTATATCTCTTAATATAGTTAATATATTCTTTCTTCCTAGTCTTGAAGAATACTTTTTATTTATTTTGTCATGTGTTTATTTTTTGTACTCCCATGTTAAAATGTGAGTTACATGAAATCAGGATCTTTTGTCTAATTTATTAATATTCCCCCAGTACCTAGAAAAACACCAGAAAAAATTAGAAGTTGCTCAGTAAACATTTGAATGTATGACATTTGTTGAATGTATGAATGAATAAGCCATCACATGTTTTTCCTTAATTTTCAATAATATTTTTAGGATTCTGAGCACACATCACCTATTCTGTGTCCTACTGACTGTTAATGAAGTTATATTAACTTAGATTGTTGTATTGATACAAAAGACTGCAGTTTGCTTTTACAAACTGCATTGATCTATTTGACAATCAGAACTTGTTGATAGAGATAATGTACGATCTTACCAAGATCGGGACAAGAGCTAGAATAATATGAAGGTCAATTAACTCTGACTCCTAGAAGAAATATTTTTCTCTTTTGTTTGAGTACACCTCTGATAATAGTAACATGTAAAATAGAATAATACATTAAAATGTCAGCATTACTACAACAGCATGCATAAATTTTGATAACTACCACTTAAATTAACAGGTTTTAAAATTTTAATATATTGCATTGCTAACTACATTATTTTGTTACAAAAGTCTTTATTACCTATTTTTATAACATAAAAACTCTTGTAGTAGTTTGTTAATACTTATTCTTAATTATTAATTATGAAACATTAATTTAACTAGTACATTTAGGCATTGGTAGTATCTATAATGCTTTTTAAATTGGTTTTATGGTAGGTAACATTTCTTTCTATACCAGATTACTCTTATCATTTAATATTTTAAATAATGTACTGGGTAATATTTAGGATAGACTTTGAAATATTGCCTTACATGTGCTTTTAATTTGCATCTTAAGAATTTTTTTTTAATTAAAGTAAATATGTTATCACTTCTCCAAAGACAAGCTTCCTGAAATTATAGAACTTGAGAATGCTGGATTTTGTAATATTCGAAAACATAATTATATGATGGTGAGAATTTTTGGACAAGGCTTCAAAAAATTACCTTCAAATAAATGTGAAGTTACTAACCTGCAGGTATGTTAATTATAGTGTTGAAAAACAAATTTATGAGCTATTCAGATTAATTTATCTTGGTTTCATTTGGTATATCACCTATTGACATAATCCTAAATTTGCCAAATTCACAGAAAACTGAATGGAAATGATTAAGGTGATTAACCTGAAAGCTTTTCTATTAGTTACTCAATGCCCTTTGTTTATAAAGTATCATTTTTTTGAGGTATGGCTTACTATTTTAGTCATATAAGAAATTAGAATGTTATCAATCTTAAAATGTAAGCTTCTGTATTTATTGAAATGTAAAACACAAAAATAGAAATATTTTTTAAGACATTCTGCATGAATTATAAGATATTCAGACATGAACAATTTCCTTTTAAAAACCAAAATGTGAAGGTTGGTTATAATTTTCCTTTATGTTTCCCTTTTTTCATATTGAAATTTTATCCCAACATACAATATTTTTTTCTTTAAAGCCTGCAAAAGAGATACATGATCACTCAGCTTTGAACATCAGTATATCAAATTATATCATATATTTGATGACTGCTCTTATGGACTTTTTTTCTGTGAAAGTGGAATTTTATTTTAGGAAGGGCTCTTTGGATTTACAAAGTTCTTAAATGGGTAAACAAAATTAAAGCTGTGAACCATATTTCATATTCTTTACTTTTTTCCTAAAATTGATAGTCTGCAGTGATTCCCTTCTTAAGAGGGTAATAACTTTCGTATCTATTCTTACGAGTCATAATGAATTTGATTATTACATAATTTTTAAGTAGGGCCTTTCTAAATGAGCCATTAAACACTTTAACCCCAATGAAATAATGGCACACAATAGAAAATGTAATATATGTAAAATGTTAGTCATTTCAATTTTATTCAAAAGAACATATATTATCTTATTCTTTGCAGAATAATTCATATTACTCTACAATTAAGTGAGTTGCCAAAAATATTTTATAGGGTTATATTTTCTCAGAAAGTACATTTTAGGCCCTCCGTGGTGGCGCAGCGGGTTAAAGCACAGCACTGAGAAGCTAAAGCCACTTCCCAATGAGTTCGATTCCCGTTTGCCCCGGAGGTGACCACATGGCGTGGCAGACCTCTCCTGACCCGCCCGCTGCTCCCCTCAGCAGTGTACTTC